GCCTTGCAACTGTGGCAAGCCTTAAACAAGCTCCTTCTTCTGCAATTCCTGGAGCTTTGTGTATTGATGTGTCCAAACCTTCTATGCCACAAGTTCAACTATGCTTCTGAAGTGCTTCCAGTCTGCAGGCATTGGGTATTAGAGGACTGGTTATGTTTGTCCACAACTATGTGTAGCACAAACATCCTGTTGGACTTCATCTCAGTCTGCAGGAGAAGACCTTCAGAAGCACTTCAGAAAAGATAGTCACTTTTCTTGCCACTGACCAACACTTAGCGGGTTGGTTTTGAGCCCTAGGACATAGAAAACCTCCTTAACCAACACTGGGAGTTGATTGATCATCAACTTAACACTTCCTCTTCCAGCCACGTTTAGTCTGTGTCATTCCCCAACCTGAAATTGCAGGTGAAACCAGTATCTAACTCAGTAAACCATTTCCTCTATCCAGTCATGTGATTTGAGCACCCTGAGTCATGGAGCCAACAGTCTGTATCAACTTCTTTCTTGGAGGTCTCTTCCACGAAAGCCATCAGAAGCATATTATCTGTCAGGTCCCCAAATTGCTTCTGATCCTGCATAGTACTAGAGCTGGAATAATGAACTTGTGGTTAGTGAACCATTATGGGCACTCATTCCTGTAGTGTCCCAGTTTGTGACACTTATAGCACTCCACAACATCCATATTCCAGCCTTTACCACTTCTTCCTCTCCCTCTCCTTGGATAAACACCTCTTCCCTGACCTCTTCATCCCCTACTGCCAAACTCATGAAAGGTTCTGAGCACCTGATCCTCCTCTCCAGACAGCCTTTTGGTAAACTTTTGTTCACGAACAACCAGAGAACTCTAAAAAGCATCTACAGACAGCTCTTCAATGTCCTTTAATTCCTCAATAGAACAAACCACATAGTTAAACCTGTCTGTGAGAGTTCTTAACACTTTTCAACTATCTTCACATCAGGCATCTCATCCCCATAGTTTCTCATGGCATTTGCTATGGTCATGATTATGCTAAAATAGCTATTCACATATTCACCTTCTTTCATTTTAATAATCTCAAAGTTTCTTCTTAGTGCTTGCAGATTAGATTTCTGAACTCTAGCATTACCCTGATATTTCAGTTTCATCGAGTCCCATAAGTCTTTGGAAGTACCTTTATTGGAGATGGTTTTGAGAATGGTTTTGTCGATGGAGTTGAAGAGATAATTATTGGCTTTGAGATCCTTTAGCTTCAGATCTTCCATAGCCTTTGTCTCAGCATCATTCAGTTCTTCTCCCTCTTTCAACACTCGGAGTCCATCACGAACTACAACCCAATACTCCTTTGACCTGAGCACTTTCTCCATTAGAAGACTCCAGTGGTCATAGTCCCCATCAAATCTGGGAAGACCAACTTGAGCAAAGCCTCATGAGTCACTCATCCTGGCAGAACCACAACTACTTGACAGTAACTTCCACTCTCCCTAGAATAAATCACCTCACAGAAAACCACTTGTGTTTGCCAACCCCAGTTTGTAACTCACAACAGACTTGATCTCTATCTCTATGAAACTTGCTTAAAAGCTTTTGGTTACAGCTTGCGTGGGCTCTGATACCACAATGTAAACCCAGTTGCTTGAAATCTGACAAGCTTTATTGATAGTAACTATGCAGAATATAAAGACTCACTTGCTCTAGCCACAATCTGACAAGCTTTATCTGACAAGCTTTATTGATAGTAACTACCACTAACTCCTGGTTCCTACAAACCAACAACCATGATCTACCACTTAGCTGCAAAAGCTCTAACAACTCTAACAACTCTACTGGACTCAAACTTACACATGACACAACAGAGGGACCTAAACTGAAATAAACCAAACGGTCAGACTTGAGAACTCAAACGACAGCGTTTCTTTATTGACTCTATTTAAACCTTCGCGCCTTAAGTAGTCCTTCTCCTGAAAGGATTGAGACTTCTCAAGCTGCTGTAGTTCATCTTCCAATAGTTCTTAGTTGGTTGAAGTCGATGGAGATGAGATGGAGATTTGAGGGAGTTGGATTATGGAGATACCGCACGGCGGACAGAGAGGAAGAGATTGATGACGAACGAGAAGAGGGAGGGCAGGGTGGTTGGTCGTGCTTTTTCAGCCTTTTGGAGTGGTGAAAGCTCTGTTTCTATTTTTGGGGATTGTGAATTACAAAAGGGGTTGTTCGACAGTAAGAGAGGAAAAGAAAAGATAAAAATCAAATGCTTTGCTATTCGTCGCCGTACTTTTTACTAATCATCGCCTAAATTGATGTAAAAAGTCATTAATATCCTTAATGAAAATCATAATCTTGATATGAGAATATGATATTTATGGTGAGATTATATAATTTATGGTATGAGAATATCATATTCATTAAGGGTTTATAAGACTTTTTACATCAATTTAGGACGATGATGAGTGAAAAGTAGGGCGACGAATAACAATCCTCAAAATCAAAGGGGGAAAAATAACCATTGACTAAAATGCTAAGCTTTGTGTCAAGCTCCAGGTTCAAACTCACAACTACCTGTTTGAAATTGTGAACTTCTTGCGTCTAGCTACAATTACATCTTATGTTACAAAGTTGCATATACCTAGTTTTATACATGTTTATCAAAATTCCCGGGGGCCATGGCCTCCCAGCCTCTACACTGGATTTACCCCTGCTGACTATGCATAATTGTTGATCATGAATAGTCAATTAATTTTGTTCTCTTGATGTTTTCTGCGTGAGATTAAGGGGGTGAAGATTTGAAGGATGTAAATTCTTTGATGTATGCCCTCTATCTACACTTGATCCTTTTGTATTTCGTACCAATTAACTCTTTGATCTAATGAACTCATGAGAGGGTTACCAACTATTTTCCGGCCAAGAAATTTTTATATTGCTAGAAACCTTTTTCTAGGGTTTTATCAGAATGTTCGTGGGACTGGGGATTGATTAATATTTAGGGATTCGTGTAGAAAGGAAATAGAGATTTGGGGAAGTAGGGTAGAAGAAGAGAGAGTGGTTGGCAACCTGATTTGAGAGAGAAAAGACGAGAGATTAGGGTGAATAGGATTTAGGGAGAGATATTATTGTAATTGATCTCTTGATTGCCTATGACGTAATGCCAAATTACATATTTATACAAAGGAATTGAATGAATACGATAAAATTTCTCCCTCATCTCTTGCTTCGTTTCTCTTAATCATTGCACTTATACTTGTTCTTATTTCCTATCATTTTCATAATACGTTACAAGCACGAAGCTCTGTCAAATACTTTGCCCAACGGTATGATTATGCTAGACTTATGAAAATTCTTCTCACGTTACTAATGCTCGGGGTATGTCTTGATTGTTTAACACTTTTCCATAAAGCGCAAAAGGAAAAATACACTGAAATGTTATATATATTTGTTTTTCGTTTGTGCTGCATGATATAGTTGTTTATGACTTTCTTAGTTAAGAATAAACTTTGCAAAGTTTAATCAATCATATAGTTCATTATTGTGTTATTGTGTCGTGTTTATAAATATTCTTCCTATATCAATTATTATACTGAAATTCGAGAGAAAAGTTTAAGAGCCCATCATTTTCCCCTTGAAGTGGAAAAAATGAAGAAGGCAAAAGTGTCATGAAATAAAGTGGAGATAATAAAAAATTTGTATTAAGAATGTGTTGTTAGAACGGATCAAGAAATTGATAATGCAAGAAAGTAAAGAACTCATTGTCACATTGATTTATGTGGTTCACTAACACGGTGTGTGTTAGCTAGTCCACAAGCTGGATAGAGCCAGTTTCACCATACTTGAGGATATACATATTACAGATTGAGAAGGTATGTATAGTACCTTCTCCGGACGGCCTAACCTAATCCAACCGAGAATACAAAAAAGGTTACAGACCAGGCTTAAAACAGTAAAACAAACGTGTATAAGCCCATATACCTTGGGTCATGATGACACTCTATTTATAGTTTTTATCACTCCCATATTTGTTACATTTTTTCTTTTTATCAATGCATCTTTAGCACATCCCATTTATAACCATAACTATTTGATCAATGAGCATTTAATAGACATAAGTTGTGTTTTTGTACTCTTTGATGTTTTTTTGGTATGTTTTTATGATTTTCAAGGTACAAAACAACTTAGGAAGACTTGGATCAAGCATCGGACAACTCCGGAGGACTACAAGAGCTATGAAGAGAAGAATATGGAGCTTTCACGATAAAGATGAGGTCCAATGATGAAGAAGCCTACTTGTAACCACAATTAGAGCCCAAGAGAAGCCTAATGGAGGATGACTCGACCCAAACAGAAGCAAGAACTAGCAGGGGCCCAACAATAGGTCCAACCGCCACCTAAGCAAACCTACATAAACAACGATGGGGTCGTTTGGTTTTGGTGATTGTTTGATTGGGATAGTTACAATGCATTGATTTTTTGAATTTTTTGCACAAACAATACATGCATTGTCTGCTTGAACTACAATACACCGATTTTATAACTTATTTAAATACCATAACAACTATCACATAAACCAAACAATGTAAACTACAATACACCGATTTTATAATATACATTTATATTATTATGCATGCATTAGTGACAATGCATCAATTTAACTATCACCAAAACCAAACTACTGGTCAACCGTTGAGTCCTGGACAACATTACTATTAGAGAGAGTTTGACTTCCGCCTGTAGGATGAAAGATTTTGGCAATTTTTCATTTTCTACTATTTTGAAGTATATGTGTTTGTTCATTTCAAAGATGGAGCTGATCATAGTCTGTTCATTTTGTGACACCAAAATGCCCTCTCATTGAAAGTTTTACTATCCTCGTCCATTATGTGCCCTTAATGTTTCTTTAATCCTTATTATCATTGGTCCCTATTTTCATAAGCTGATTATGATTTACTTTTAGTAAAGAACCAAAAGGAAGAAAACCCTAAATAGGTAAACCAAAATATTATCTGGAAACTTCATCCTGCTAAAGCTTCCTCTACCGAACGAACTTCCAACTAGAGATGGAAATCATTGGTGTCTCTTTCCAGCCAACAATCAAGCTCTTCCCATCCACCCTAGTTTTGCAGTACTTCCCACATGGAAACTCCTTAAGCACAAGCTTCGCATGATACAGTACCATTGCGCTCAGCTTTAACTCCACCATCCCAAACCTCGCAAACAACGTCCTCCACACATCAATCCACACCGTTGTGAAACACCTGTCCTCTTCTGTTATGTGCATTTATTTAGTAAAAGTAATTATTTAATTATGTGTTGTTAGGGGAGGGATTATGACGTGAATAGTGGGGTAATTAGTGAGTTAGTGGTTAGCTAGGATTAAGAAAGGTGTTTTCCGTTGGTTAGGGGTAGTAGTTGTTTCCTTACTATTTAAGGTAGTAGACGATAGAGGAAAGAATAGTCAACGGAGTATAATAAAAAAAGGGTTTTACACACCTACGTGTTAATTTGTGAGGTTGGCTTTCCTCGAAAAAGTTTAGAGGTTTTGTTCTCACCATTAAGGAGAACACTTCTCTTCTTCAATCTATCTATCCTTCATTATTCTTCCTAAATCTCATTCGTGCAAAAGTGCACGTAACATCTCCTTCCTCCACCACGACGTTCCTGATCCTCCTCCCCAACACCAAGGACTCGAGCAACGCCCTACTCTCCGTATCTCCCTCGTCCATACATACCTCCAGAAAATCAAAGACCGAGGTGAACGAGAAGAGATCCTTGACGAATCGAGGCGACAACGTGGTCAAATTGTGATTCGACTCCATTTCCAACACAACCACGATCCGTGGCTTGAGACCTCGTATCACTTTCATCAGACCTTCCATCCGGTCGAGACAGGGGACCAGACTTCTGAGGTAGAACTCTGAGTAGACAACTAGCGCCTCCTTACAGTCGCTATTGAAAATTTCCTCCCGAAGGTCCAGAACGTGGTAGACCGTTATGATTCTGAAGTAGAACGTAACGGTCAACACCGTGCGACCGAAATAACTCGCTAGCCATCTCCACGTCTCTCGATCAACTTCCTCAACTTTTTGGGCGCCACGGGCTTAATCCTCAGCATCTCCACGGGGCGGTCCCACAGCCACGACGCGAGAGCTTGCATCATGGCCTTCCACTGTATTCCATTGCGGATCTCGAGGTCAATCACGTGGATCCTCCTCGATCCGCACACATTTTCGAGCAATATTTGAATTCCTGCCATGTGAGACACCCTGTAAAAAGGGGAACTTTTTGGATACAAATTGATCTATCTGGTTTGCCACTTCTATTGTAGTGCCGACCGGTGCTTGACCAGTTAATTGGGATCTCTAATCTTCCCTCGTTGCTGGGGATTCGAGAGAGATCCTATCGCGAAGCGATTCAGAGAAATAGTGACCGACCCTCTGAATTGGATATTTTAGAGAGTGGTATAAGATCCAGCATAACCTTTCCCAAAAACTCGAGTTATTGGGAGTAACTGGTTCATGACATGGTATCAGAGTTGATTTGGCCAAGTGGCCGTGTGTTGGAATCTCCACGGCCCTCAATATTCATAGTTGATTAAAAGCACAAGGTATGGTGGACCTGTGCAAATTACAAGCCCATGGGTTGGCTTTCGTTTGAGGGGTGTGTTAGAGAGTGGTATAAGATCCAACAAAACTTTCTCCCAAAAGAGAGGTCAATGGATTGGGAGCTCATACTGATGATCCTTCACGAAGATGCCTAAAGGATTTCGTAGGTCGACAAACATTGATCGGCATCGGCTGCTATTGTGCCTTCGTCGGTGCTGCAGGAGCTATTGGACGATGCCATTTCTCTGTGTCGGAGTGGGACGCACGCAACAATTGAGAATGAATTGATTATTAATTAATTAATACATAAAAGCCAAGGTTGTAGGTTACTATTCATTAGTGACTCTCGCACTTCTCCAAGTGCAAGTGGGGAAGTTTTAAGTCCTCCTTTTACCCCACTCTCCATTCTACAACCATTGTGTTTAGCTATAGTTCACTAGGTTTATATCTTTTGTCCATTGTGTTTCTCATAACAATTATTGCCTATTAGGTTTTCAACTCTCTATTGCAGCAACTATCCACTAGTTAATATATAAAACCTAAGGTTGTAGGTTACTATACATTAGTGACTCTCGCACTTCTCCAAGTGCAACTGGGGAAGTTTCAAGTCCTCCTTTTACCCCACTCTCCATTCTACAACCATTGTGTTTAGCTATTGTTCACTAGGTTTATATCTATTGTCTATTGTGTTTCCCATAACAATTATTGCCTACTAGGTTTTCAACTCTCTATTGCAACAACTATCCACTAGGTTTTCGTCTATGGTTTTTTTGCACAAATCATCTTCTTTCACCACCATTTCGCATCCCATCTTGAAATACTGTCGGCAGAATCCTAAGTTGTTCCACACCACTGTTTCCCAAGGCCACTACCACGAGTTTTGTATCGGAATCCTAATCATTAATATATTGATTAATTATTTTATATATAAAAGTTAAGGTTGTAGGTTACTATTCATTAGTGGCTCTCACACTCCTCCAAGTGTGAGTGGGGAAGTTTCAAGTCCTCATTTTACCCCACTTTCCATTCTACAACCATTGTGTTTAGCTATTGTTCACTAAATTTATATCTATTGTCCATTGTTTTACCCCACTTTAAGCATAATTTTTTTGTCTATTGAGAGTATTGTCAAGGTTCAGCCCAATTGGTGAGGGCTAAAGAAAGATGGCCCAAACAGAAGACGACCCAAAGAAGGGAGGTGGGGAAAGAAGCCCATTAGGGTTAAGTCGGCCCAAGGGCGTTCAGGGTGGGGCAGTTTAGTGGGATCGAGCCTCTGATAGGGGGCGCATAGTGACAAAAGACAGCCAACGGGAAGTGGTGTACATAAAGATGAACGAGTGAGATCATGCACCCCGAATCTTTGACCGCGGGGTCAGGCGATCGAGGCGCATGGCAAGGAGCAAGTACGGTGCATTAATGGCCTTGCTGACGTGGGGCGTAATTGGGGGCATTGGTCGACGTAGCTCCAAGTATAAATAGGAGAGTAGGTGAACTTCATTTACCCAGTTCGGCTTCTCTCACTAAACCTTTGCTTACATTGTTTAGTCGTGCTATATCTTATACAAAATTATATTTTTGTTACAAATTTATCTTTTTGCAGGAACTTTTAAAGAGATGTTTGTGTTTAACTCATCAATTATTAGTAATATTTTATGATAAAATGATGTAATAAATAAAAATATTTTAATTTTAAAACATAAAAATAAATAAAAATAGTAATCAAAATGATTTTTTTTCGAACTATTTATATTAAATAATATTGTTATGATCTCTTTTGATGGTAAAAAAATATTAATAATTATATATTTTCTTAATTTTAAAAAAAAATAATTATAAGTATAATGTATTTTCAAAAAGTTGTGTGCAAAAGTTAGGGTTTCTGAAGGCATAATCCCGCTTTAGTCTAGACTTGCCTAGGCACTAGGCAACAGAAAAATCCTCTCCTAGGCCCTAGGAAGAGCTAGCCGGCTCCTAGACACAATTAATCGGTGTGAGACGTGATTAATCGGATTTAGGTGCGCTTAACAGGGTTGGCAAATCAAGGATTAGGATGAAGAAGGATATTGTACACCATTGAGTGTTGTGATAGATACAATGTTAACTGGTGAGCAACTTGAACTTTGTAGAATTGCAAAAGTGAGAGACCAAGCTAGTTAGAGAACATCATACACTAATTTAGGATTGTAACAAACCATTCAAACTATCTCACAAAATAATTCATAAGTTTTTCACTAAATTTAGGTTAGTAATTAGAGTGGCAATTAGTAGTGACCGCAAAAATCGACAAGGATGTTGGAAAACATAGAAAAGTAAGAAGTAAAATTAGTAATTCAAATTGGGTGATCTTAGTTTACGTTAAAATATTTGTTTCTTACTTCTTCAGCGATTGAAATAGTGAACTTATGGACTAGTCAAATCGAGGTTGTTCATCTAGTTTTATGTTAAATCATTAAAAATCATTCGGTCCATCACTAACAATTCAAATAAATGAATCAAACTACTATTGTAATTTGTAATTGATTTGATAGTTCCTTTTTTTTTTTGTGAGAAACAGAGCGCAGAGGGGAGCCCTAACCCTTAACTATTAATCAAATGGGGGGGGGGGGTCTGAATCCCCAAAGTTCCAAAATACAACCAGTGACTCAACATGGACCCCCGCCGGTAAAGCGTGCCCAACCGAGGCAATATAGTCAGCAACGACGTTACCCTCGCGGAATATGTGGCCGATATGCACCTCCCACTCCCTAGCCAGTAGTTCACGAACAGCGGACACCTGAACGTAATGCGGCTGGCCTGGAGTTGCTTCCTGTATGAGATGAACAACCATAGCTGAATCAGTCTGCACCATCACTTTCCGGCAGCCCTCTTCCCATGCGAGCTGCAGACCGAACACAATCCTCGCCATTTCTACATGAGTGATAGACACTCCAACCAAGTTTGCCGAGAATGCCTTCACAAAACGAACTTCATCATTCCTAATCACTCCCCCCACAGACGTACTCACCTGTCCTCCTGTCACTGAGCCATCCGTGTTGAGGCAAAACCAATCACTCGGCGGCCTCTGCCAGCCGATCGGTTTCGTGCTGCGAGATGGACCTTCACCTATAACCTTCCTCGCCATTACCCCAGCCAGCTGGATCTGCCGCCGCAGAGCTTTGACTTGATTTAAGAGCTGCTGCGTAGAGGCCAGCTGCTTTTCAAAAACCCAGTTGTTCCTGTTCTTCCATAAATTCCAGCAATAAGGGCAAACAAAGGTGAATCAACAACCTTGCTCCGGTCTGACAAATAATGCATTATCCAGAGATCGATATTTGTGTCAAAGAACACAATATCAGGTTCATCCGAGAGGACTTCAGCCCAAACAGCACGTGCATACGGACAGTCACGAATCACATGGATGTTCATTTCTGGTCCGCCGCCGCAGACAGGGCATCCGTCCACAGTAGCTAGGTGGCGCCGACGTCTCTCAGCGTTTGTGGGCAACCTGTTATGTAGAACGAGCCAAAATAACGGCTTCAATCGCTGCGACCCTTCAATTTTCCAGGCAGCCTTCCAAATCGGGTGATGCCAGCTCTCACCCTCCCCTTCTGCTGTCAACTCGTAGGCGGACGAGACAGTAAAGCGGCCAGATGACGAGAGCCGCCAACAAGGAGTGTCCACCTCGCCTGCATGCGGTATCGGGTGGAGCTAAAGTAGCATGGCAACCGCTTCGGGTAGATAAATTTGGGCATAGTCCAGATTCCATTTCCCATTTAAGACCGTTTCAGCAACCTTGACGTTTACCGCTTCCGGTGGTAGGTCCGCAACTAGCTCACCAAGAGGAGGGCCACCCTGCAGCCAAACATCTTCCCAAAACCTTGTTCCCATCCCATTCTACACATTCCACATGATCCCTTTCCGTAGAAAATGGAGAATTCGTAGTACTCCCCGCCAAAGGTTCGACAGTCTGCCCATTGTACGTGGTATCCAGCCCTCTGCTGTGCAGCGTCGATACTTAGCATTGATTACTCTCGCCCACAGACTATCTGGCTCTGTCAAAAATCTCCAGGCAATCTTCATCATAAAGGCCTCATTCATGCGGGTGGCATTTCGAAGTCCCAGGCCTCCTTCCGTCTTTGGCCTGCACACCGTGTCACAGTCCACCAGGTGAAGCTTCCTCTCCTGCTCCGAGCTTCCCCAGACAAAACCACGTAATTTCTTAATATAGTCGCAAACTGCGACCGGAAGGAAATATGCATGCATTGTATTAGTTGGCATGGCTCCCAAGAACGATTGTGCGAGGGTAATTCGAGTAGCTAGCGACAAAGTGGCCACTTTCCAACCAGCTAGCCTCGCGTCAATTCTGTCAATGAGGTCTACAAATTTCGCCTCAGAGACCCGATCATGGATAACCGGAACACCCAGATACCTGCCTAGATTCGAAGTCTGCAGGATATCCATCGCATCACTCAAGCGTTTGCAATCAGGAGCATTTATGTTATGGGAAAAGAAGATTATTGACTTTGGTTTACTCACTTGTTGTTCTGAAGCCACACCAAAGTCTTCCAAGAACTTTGAAATAACCTGAACCTGCTGAAGGGTAGCAACACCAAACAAGATGAGGTCGCCAGCAAAAAAGAGGTGGGACAAAGAAGGTCCCCCTTGAGATAGCTTAATCGGCGTCCACCTGCCCGTCTCGACAACAGAGCTGATGAGATGTCCCAAACGCTCCATGCATAACGTGAAAAGGTACGGGGAAAGGGGGCGTCCCTGTCGGAGACCTCTAGAGGGGAAGAACTCGTCTGTGAGACCCCCGTTCCACTGAATTTGCAGGAAGCCGTGGTGACACAGCTCATCGTCAAGTCGATGAACTTTGATGGGGTGCCTGTTGCTTCTAAGGTATCACGGACAAAACTCCATTTAATTCGATCATATGCCTTCGCAAGGTTGATCTTCAGTACCATCCAGCCTGTCCTCCCCTTCTTCACTCTCATCGAATGTACAACTTCCTGTAAAACACAAATATTGTTAGTGTGTCTCCCAGGTACAAAGCTTGTTTGAGTCTCGTGCACTAGAATAGGCATAATCGAATTCAGTTTTTCCGCGAGACAATTAGCAATCATCTTGTATGCCATATTACAGAGGCTGATAGGCTGAAAGTGCTCGATCAAAGTTGGGCGTTGCACTTTTGGAATCAGTGCTAGAATCATGGCATTAATCTTCTTAACTTCAGCTGGCTCGTTCCAACACATCTGAGCAAAG